GAGTTAACTTAAAATCCAGTTCACCTTTTTGCTAACTTGTGTATAACTACCTTCAAAGCTAATAGACCAGGAAAATAAGTGTTTTGGCTTACTAAATAATTGGTTCATAGCTTCTCCTTACCATTGTTAAAAAGTATTAAAAGTCACCCCAAGTGTCGTGTGCGCTAAAGGTCACAAAAATCTATTTTTACACATATCTTACATTTTACAAGTCGTGTGCGTTTCGATGCTATTATAATTTCTATAAAGACTGATAAGTCCAGTTGTATTTAAAAAAAAGAAATCAAAAATAAAAATATACTGTATTCCTTAAAACAACATTAAAAAATTACAATTTATACGTAAAAAAACTAATGATTATAATAACTATTAAAAAGAGCATCATAATACAAAATTATAATAATAAAAAATAATAATGTTAGAAAAAAAAAATGCGTTGTTATCTTTACTGGTGTTAAAAATATTAAGATTTGAAAATGTCATTGCAATGAAAAAACAATGCACTATAGCTCGAAAACAACTAGTGTTATGCGAAAATATTCCTCAACCTAAATGTAGGAAATTCAATTCTCTATAGAAATTATAATAACATTAAAATATTAAACGTACGACGCATAATAAGCGAGATATTATCTAAAAACAAATTTATACCTTTACCTTTGACCTCCAATATCTCGCTTAGCGTACACGATATTTTCGGCGACTTTTAATACCTTATTTATTACGCTAAGGAAAAGATATGTGCCTATTTTCAATTATCTACATATCTAAAATTCCGCAGCAAGCCCCTTATTTTCCTGGGCTATTTCTCTAGTTTCAGACTTTTATCATCTGGTTCTTGTCTAATTTTGAGTGTCGAACGGTGCTATACTAGTTTGCAAATTAATACTTTTTTTGCTCATGGAATAAAACATATATTTTTAAAAAATATATTTTTTGCTTTTCCTATAAAAATCTAAATTTTGAAATAAATTTGCATCGTCCTTCAGGAATGCTGTCAAAATATTTGAAAATAAATAATGATTTTGTGGTGCTTTCGCCTTTTTTATTATATCTTTTTGGCTATTATATCTAAGGGCTATGTTCTTTTTCTTTACGTCAAAATTTTGTGATAATGATGTTCTAATTTTGCATCATCCCTCAGAAGTGCTGGTAAAATATTTGAAAATTAGTATGTAATTTAAAAATTTTACGTCATAGATACTTTCCAATAATTTTTCTGGACTTAGACGGCCTAAATAAAGAAAAATACATATTTATGTATGTTTTATACTTAAGATTAACATCTTCAGCATTAAATAAAATTTTCAGGAATATAAAATATAAGATAATGGTGTGTATAGATAGGAAATGTTGCTGCATATTGATTGTATATATAACAACGTGCAACAGCCATTTTCAATCATGAAAAAATCTATATGTGCAAGAACCTGGACCGTTTGTATTAACACCGTGTATTAAATTTTTAATAATCAGATAAGAAAGGACCTTAATTAATTGTTGCCCTTATAAGATAACGCAAACTTGTTCTCAGCTATCGTCAAAAAAGTTTGATTTTTTCGACGGCCGTTTCAAATCTCCAATTTGAGTTTTTTGGAACTTTGTTAAACAAATTTCAAAATTTTTAGGAGATCTCATGGGGATTTATGGACAATAGATAAGGACATTAAACGGTAAAAAATTAGATAAATATTTCTTGCAGTTTAACTGTACCTACGATTTCGGGAAAATCACATTTTTTTGTAATTTTTTATAGAATACGTATTAATTTTTTACTAATGTACATTTTAATGAAAGTATTTTCAGAGTATTATAGTCCAGATTATATAAAATATATATCTGAAGTTTTATTAAAATCGGACATTCTTAACCCATAAACTGTGGAGCTCAATGGTCAAATTTTGCAATATTTGGGAATTCTTAGTGTATCATATCGAAATAATATTTATTTGTCGGCCATATTTACCAAAAATGACTGGAATTTATCGTATATAGTCCGATATTTAAAATAGAGTGACAAAAGGTAGATTAACCCTTTAAGGCACTTGGGAACAATTTAACACCAAAGTTAAAAAATTCGAAAAAACTCTATTTGAATAATTCTCTATATAATTAGAGGAAAAACGGAAATAAAACAAAAAATTCGTTTAACAAAGTTTCAAAAAAAACTAAAATTGGATATTTGAAACCGTCCTTAAAAAAATCAAACTTTTTTGAGAACAAGTTTGCTAGAAGCGTGGTACCTCCCATATAAAAAAAAAATATTACAACAATACATCTGAGAATTATAGTCTTAACGGAACCACTTTAGTATCATTATGATTGTTTAAGACAAAATGGGCGGACTAAAAATAGGGGAGCTTCATTAATTAAATAAAAAAAAATAGTATATCAAAATTTCCACGGTCAACATTAAAATCCATATGAATAATTTGGGGGATAATTGCCGGACTAGAAATAGGGGCATGGCACCTCCCATATGAATTAAAGACAAAACTCCTTATATCTGGGAACCTGTTGGAGCTATAATTCCCAAATTTTGCACGAAGAACTTTGACATCCATGTTAACATTTGCTTGCTAAATTTGCGGACTAGCAATAGGGGGCGTGGTACCACCCATATAATTTAAATACAAACATTTGCATGTCTGGTTGCAGAATTGCTGCAAATGGACTTTAGTTTCACATACAGTAGTGGAAAATATAATAGAAACGACTTTATATAGTGGTGAAAACTAAATTTTCTCAAAAAGTACCCGTTACAATTTGATGATTTGTATCTTAAATAAAAGGTATTTAGGTCAACTTTTCTATAATAAATGGAGTTTGTAAGTTTTTTTGCTCCATCGTATTTTATTGGTATTTAAAAAATTTCGCATTGGAAAAAATAATAGAAACCATTCACAGTATTACACTGGGGACATAAGCTGAGATTTTTTTAAACTGCGTTTTGTATTTATTTTTAAAAATTTGAATTGTAAATGATATTCCCAATATCAAAATATACTGTTTCCTCGGTTCTTTATGTTAACGTGTGTTTTTTCAACGCCTGGTTGACCATATGAGCTCTGACTGCTGAATTGGAGCCACGACTTTCAAATTTTCTTAAATAAAAAGTTAAAACAGTGAAGGAAATTGCTTAACATTTTTAAATTACTTAAAAAATTATTTCTTGAAAAGATTTCGAGCCGAAGAAGTCTTGAATCCGCTTATAGATAACGATAATCCACCGATTTTTGGATAATCCACCGAAAATATGTTTTTTTTTTCATTACCTTTTCTAAAATCTAATACGTTTATTTTATGGAAAAAAATACAAAGAATATTCTTTCTGATGTTTTAATATGATAAGGTGCATTTTATCTGAACTTACGTTAAAGTAGACTACCTACAATTCAAACTGAATTTTAAAAATTTTTAGGTTTTGTGAACTTTTTGTGTTAAATTTAACTTAATTTAACTTAATTTAGCATTATTTCACAAGTCCAACAATATACTTTGACATTTAAGCCCTTTTTAACCACCAAGAACAGTTCGAATTGCAAAATAGCGAAATATTGCTCGAAATTTGGCCCAAAAATCGGTGGATTGTCCTTATCTATAAGTGGGTTAAAAACTTTTTCTTCTCGAAATCTTCTCAAAAACTAATTTTTAGATAATTTAACCATTAGAAGACATTTCTTTCACCATCTGAAATTCTTATTTAAGAAAACTTGAAAGTCGGGCCTCTGATTCAGCTTTCAGGATCCATATGGTCAATCAAGCTTCGAAAAATCAAATGTTAACATAAAAATTAAAGTAAAAAGTATACTTTTATATTAAGAATTTCATTTATAATTAAAATTTTTAAAAATAAGTACTAAACGTAGTTTAAGAAATCTCAGCTTATGTCCCCAGTGTAATACTGTGAATCGTTTCTATTATTTTTTCCAATGCCAAATTTTTTAAATAGCAATAAAAAACGATGGAGCAAAAAAACTTACAAACTCCATTTATCATAGGAAAGTATACCTGAATACCTTTTATTTAAGATACAAATCATCAAATTCTAACGGGTACCTTTTGAGAAAATTTAGTTTTCACCCCAAAATAAAGTCGTTTCTATTATTTTTCCACCACTGTACATATCAACTGTTCTATGTGTAAAATCTTTCTATTATTTTTTCCACCACTGTACATATCAACTGTTCTATGTGTAAAATCTTTTTTTTAATATTAATTTGGCTGCTGTTCTTTTATTTATGCAGCAGAAGCTAACTTTTAATGAGGTGACTTCTAATTAGCTGAAACTGGTGTAAATGAATAGGATTTTACAAGCCAAATGTTTAGCATTTCAGTTATTTCTGATTCATTTATTGTTAACCATAAGTTGTTTTTAAGTTAAGTGAAAATCCAACTGGATGAAAAGCAAAATAATATTTATGTTACCCCTCTTTATATTAATCTTGCTTTTTTTATGATCATTCTCAAAATATTTTAGGTCTAGCGATGACCGCTCGTAAGCAGGACAAAACTCAAAAAGGGCGTTTTTTCAAACATTTTGTAAATTTTTTAAAACAATCGAAAAACATAAACATTTTATGTTTTTTTTTTTCATAAAAATAAAACTAAATTGCAGCAAGTTCTGTCACCGTTAGACGCAGTTCCAAAACTCCTTTCAAATAACACCATTTATTTTGTTAAAAAAAAAAAAAAACAGTAGAATCTATCGATACACAGCGACTATCGACAGACTCAAAATATTTCAATATATGTAACAGAATTTTTATGAAAAGAAAGGGAGTTTTTAATGCAGTAACTATTAAATAGCCAAAAAGATTTTTTTGTTTGTAAATTTTTCATCACGTATGAGGGATTGTTTGCTGTATATTTTACCATCAAAATCTCATTTTCATGAAAATGAGAGATAGCGAATATTGAATATAGTCCCTCGATATATAGTTTCAAACAAATATAAAACAAAGTAAGGTAAATTTTGAGAAAGTGCAACAAAAACACTATTTTGCTTTACATAGAGGGTGAGTCCATCTATTAATTCAATGTACATTTTATTCGTTCGCCAAGAATGGTTCTTTAAATGATTTCGATGTATCGTAACCGTTTGTAGATTCTATGTAATATCTTAAATATACGATATAGAAGTAATAAATGAATATTAAACAAGAAATACAAAACAAACAAATGGCTAATTCTTATCTCTTGCGTCTTTTAGTTTTCTTTTTTAAGGCCCCCACTGTTGTTTGGGGCGTCGTCACAATGGGAAGAGGTATGATAGATGTAGATATACTACTTGCTACCGAGATCAATGATTCGTCAATGTCGTGAGAGGAACGTCCTCCTAACTCAACACCACTCTCTTCTGCTGATGATGTTGACGAAGATGTTGCTGCTTCAATGGCGGCAATCAAATTAATTTTATGTTCTAATTTTTTTGTCTTTATTTTATGTTGGTTGTGAACTGTTGTAACGGGGATCGAAAAAGCATTATCGTCAGATGTTGTTGCTGGCATGGGACCCTCGCTATCTGTGGTATTCGAGTGCAAAAGTGGCTGTGTCTTCAATGGTTGGTTACTATCACATTTTGCAGTTGATGCTGACAATGTGTCATCAGAAACATTAGTTGTTTGATCAACATGTGACTCTGTCATGGCTATTAGAGGTCGCAATTCTTCATCGTCAATTTCTTGATGTTGTTGTTGCTCCTTTTGCTTTTGCAATTCTTTTACTTGTTGCTGCTTTTTGCGCTTTTGCTTTTTTGTCATTTTCTTCTCCTCCATTATAACAATTTCTTCCGATCCTGAAGAATACGTCGATGAAGAGAACTTCTCATTGGTTGTATTGGTTGTAGTCGTGTTTGTTTCCTGTGAACTTTGTTCCAAGCTCATGTAGGGATCCTCATTCTCATTAAGTGATTTATAGTCAGCAAGCGAAGGTTCCTCAAAAGCTGCAGAAGAATGATTTGACGAAAATGCCGGAGAAAGGTCTGTATTCTCTGCGGATCCAATAGTATGTTCATTTTCATAATGTAAAGATCCACAAAGAGCCAGAATCAGATTCTTTTCCGTAAATCCTCGGGGAGCAGGAGTTATTTTTCGTTGCAGTGTAGGATTTTCTTGCAAAGGACTCTCAAAATTTATTAAACTTATATCCATCAGAGAGCTGCTTTTATTTTCCGACATCAATTGCAGGGGCTCGAGGGCAGGTAAAGGAGGCAATGGATCCAAGGTTTTTAATATTGAAAACTCATCGAATCTTGTTTGTTTTTCTGTATCATTTGGAGTAGGAAGTTCAGGTAACAACTTATCAGAAGCATTAATTTTGCTTACAGTTCCTAACTGGGGAAACTTGGTGTTACCGTCACCCGATTTGCCGAGATTTTTACTTATCATTTCCGCACCACTTAAAGTTTTCCGAGCAGATGTCATCGGAAGGGGTGGGTTTTGTATTTTATTTACTAGTTTGTTTTGTTTTCCACAAACTTCTAAAGTATTTTCGATAAATTCTTTTTCAATTGACTTCTTTTTTAAATATTTGTTGTCCTCTTTAAAAACATCTCTTTTTTCAATACATTTTTCAGGATTTTCTGAATTCTCTTTGTTATATGTCCCCAAATCCGATGGTATTTTTTTATTGACACCAACTCCTTTTTTTAGTTCATCTTTGGACATTGCCTTTCCTTTTTTTTTAGGCGATGTTGGTGCTGGTGCGTTGTTCATGGTTTCAATTGATGACGATTTATTATCCTGTTTTGTATCACATAATTCTTCTTTATGAGTATTAGTCAAATCTTGAATGAGGCTTCTTTTTGGTGTAAGTTCATTGCTAGTTTTTGATGGATTGGAGTTCTTACAGACTGGGACTGTCTTCAAGTTAATTTCATCGTTAGCTTCATTTTTGGCAGAATCCTCACTAATTTTGCTTATTTTTTTTAGTTCTTCTTCAGTTTTAATTTCATTTTCTTTAAAATGTAATATTTCAATATTTCTTTCATTACTATTTTCTTTCTTTTCGGGATCAATTATAATTTCAGATGGATTTTCCCTTTTAACATGGTCAGTTATTATTTTATTAGTTTCTATGGCCTTATCAATTTGTCTATCACATTCCAAAATTTCTGTGGAATCTGTGCTAATTGTACTTTTCAATAAATTATCATCCGACTTAGTCTTACGAGATTTGTCTTTATATTCTGATTTTGTGCGTTGGTGGTCATAATCGGAAATTTCTTCATTTAAACTGATGTCATCTAATATCGCCTTTTTATTATACGAAAGCACCTCAAATTTTATATTTCCTGAAATTGCAATGCCAGTGGAGTTTTCTTCATTAGAAACTCTTTTATTTTTTTCGCTTTTCGTCGCTTCAACACTATTCTTACTGTTTGGATTGTCATTGTTCTTAATATTGATGTGGCTTTTTTTAGTCTCACTCGTACCTTGCAATTCAACAATATCTTTAGATTGAGGGTCGTTATTCAAAGCCATATTTGTAGCAATTTCACCTGGCTTTTCATTTTCTGTTTCCATGCTTTTAACTTTTTCAGTAGCTTTAATTTGTTTTCCATTTTTCTTAATTTCAAATAAAGAATCACTGGGTTGGTGATCGTCGTTCGGTTTAGTTATTAAAGTGTCATTTACTCCCGATTTGATAGTTTTAATAGAACCCTTAGTTTTATTTATTTTTTCTTTCGTGGCAGTGTTCTTTTTGATTAAATTCTGAGATGTTAAGTTTCCATTGTTCTTTAAATTCGCGTCTGACTTATTCGGAAAGTTTTCGATATCCATCACATTTTCTGTAACGTCTATTTGGTCTGCTTTGGTAGAAATATTGGCAGTAAATTTAACATTAGTGATTGCTTCACTAATATATTCGTGACATACACGATCATTGGATACTTTAGCCGTATTCCTAATGTGCTCTTCTTTATTCTGTTCACTGCTATTTAAATTTCTAAATTTTTCTTTTGTTGTGGTAGCTTCAGCCTTTGACAAATCATCTTTTAAATTGGAATCCTCATGCATTTTTTTTAAATTAGATTGCTTTTCCAATTTTGTTTCTGCAAAATCAGAATTTTCTAATTCCTTTTGGGTTTGCATTTTAAAATCTCCTTTCTGTTGTATTTGTGATCTACTAGCTTTATCAGGTTTTTTAGACTCCGCTGGCTGTTTATCTGTTTTCAGTGAAAGCGTAGCTTTTTCTTGTGTTTGTAGCTCCTTCGTTGAGCTTATGATTCCAGATGAGTTTCCTTTTAAAACAGATTGATTTTTTGAGCATGTTTTCTTTATCTCACTTAAATTTTTTTCCGGTAAAAGTGTAGATTTGCTATTTTGGTTATGAATTTTTTCACAAATATTGTCTTCTTCTTCTTTTGTTTTCTTATTCAATGATGACAATTCTTCAAATTTTGGTTGCTCTTTTCCCGATTTCTTTGAAACTATTGCCTTATATTTGGTAACACTTATCTTTTCCTTTTCACGTTTATTAAGTTCATCGTTAACCTCTTTGGCTATAACTGGTACCACAAGTTTATTGCTTATATTTTCAGGAGCCTGATATTGTTCATTATTTTTTCGAGCTTCTTCTTTGTTTTGAAGAATAGCCTTCTCGTCGCAAAATATGGCTACAACAGGACGAAACAGACTTTCATCGCAGTTTTCATGTATAATTGTATCTTCTGCAGCCAGCTGAGAAACAACTTCGTCCAAAATATCGGTTTTAACGTCGGCAGTTAGACAAGATGTAATGGTGGTCACCGTTCCTAGGGGGTTTACAATCTTCTCGATAGAAGCCTTTGACATTTTTAACGTATCTAAGGACTCATAGCTCGAACTGTTATCATACGAATGAATGTTAGGAAGGACACTGGCGAGGGCAGCGGCTGATGCGGAACGAGCATGATCATCCTCAGCAGTTAGTGCGTCAAAAAATGCAACATTATCACTAGAACCGGCAGTTTCACAACCATGACAACCTTTATTGAAGCAAAAAATAGAGGAAAGAAGAGAAAAAATAAACATTGCATAAGAAAGAGCAGTTCATACAAATATTAAAAAAAAGCCAAAGGCATTTTAGTTTAAATGTGAATGATTTCAATTTTAATTTGTTTATTAAAGAAATGTACACGAAATCTAAATTATTTCTATGATAACTGTAAACGATTCTAAATTCTTTTTGTTTTTAATATAAAGAAAGTGCAAAAATCTAAGTTAAAAAAATGTATTAATTAAAAATTTAATAAATAAAAACGGCATTTGAAATTAACAGGGGTTATTTTAAATAAAGTTTTTGAAAGTGTGTTTTTTTGGTAGGTGAGTTTAAAAAAGGAAATAAATAGCGCATGGAATTCTTATGGACAAAAAAATTAATTTCAAATTGAAACATGCTGTTTTATTAATATTTTTATGATTAAACTCTCAATTAATTATTTTATGTATATAAGTAAGCTAAAAAACTCGAAACCGTGAAATTAATTAAAAATATAACATAATTTGTTTAAACTAAACAACACCAAATTCTCATTTAAAGTTATTATAATAAACAATATTATTTATTTGTAGAGGCAAAAGAACAAACAACACTGAGTCCGAAAAAAACTTTTTTAACAAGGAAATTTTATGTGTTTTTAAGCATTTAAACATTAAGAAAAACTTTGGCTTTTTATTAATCGTTCAATGTGAAACATACTCTTTTCTTATTTAATAGTGCTATGTTATTTTTCTCTGTTTCATACTCTCTGCTTGCTTTTCTCTCAATCTTTTATCATAGTTTGAAACAGAAACAATAATCTAATTTACTTAATTTTATAAAATAATAGTCGATATTTAGCAATTGTGACTCAAAACTTTTTCAAATATATAATAAATAAGAAAACGCACAAACATTGTCTTTATATTATCTGAAATAAATGCATCTTATATGTACAAATTTATATACAAATAGTAGGTTAGGTAAAAGAATGTGTATATATTTTTTTTTATTTTTAAAATTTAAATTGAATGACATTAAAAGGAATGAAAATAAACATTTAACATTTAATTAGTGCAATTAAATCCCCAAAAAATCCCCTTATAGAAATAATTAATTCTTTAATAGCCCAGGAAACTGAATCGATAAAATGAGCAAACTGGGGAATTTTAGATAGCTTAATAAAAGTTGGCTCAGGACTTCATTTTTCTCGCCAATAATACCATGTACACTAAGCGAGATATTGAGGGTCAAAGGTTACAAAAATAATATATTTCTGTTGATAATTAAATTTTCTACATTTTAGTTGAAGACTAGTTTTGTATATCATTAGTTGTTTTTCATTATATTTCCACTGATATTTTCAATTAATATAGATTAATAGATGGCTCATAGTGCAATGTCTGTCTATTCATAATTTCAGATAGTGTTCACAGGACATAATTATGAATAAAATTAGAAAAATAACAACATATCTAAAGTAATCAGAGTTTACCTTTACATATTTGGGTATATTTGAATTTTCAAACAAAAGTAAAACCACTATGGGGTATTGGTAACAAATTAAAGTCAGTTTTGAAGTCGAAGTCTGATTTCAATAAAATTTTGTGATTATGTATCTTTAACTACCCAGCAAGAAATAATTGATGTCATACTTCGCAAACAACATCTTAATCACATCTAAAAATACGATTACATATTTTTTGCTTTTATAAACAAAGTATTTCCTTACAAATGAAAACCCAGTTAAAAGTGAGGAAAGAGTTGTAGAAAAGTCACTATAAATAACATATTCGAAGTACATCAAATTCAGATTAAAAACCAATGAAATTGGTAATGACGTAAGCGTGTCATTGAAAGAATGCGGTTTATTTTTGACATCCAAATATTGTATTTTTACTGCTTCTTAAAATAAGAATAGATGTAGTCCAAAGTTGTCAAAAATAAACAACATCCCTCCAAAGACATGCTAATGTATAATTCATAGGTTTATCACCCGAATTTGAAGCACTTCGGGTTACTAGTTGTGTCGAAAATACTACATATATACGCACAATTGGAAAAATAGAAGACACTTGTGTATACGTAACGAATTTGCAATAGGTTTATTTATATTTTTTACGGTCATACATAAACAAAAACGTTGAGCGTTGATTAATTTTATAAAAACAATAATAAATTACAAGTAACTCAACGCTTAATGCTTTTCTTTAAAGCTAGAGGTCCACACTACGCGTCATAGCATTTCGTGCTTTTCATACATTCTTTGCATCCTACGCATCATGTTACATGCTATGCTTCTTAGGCGTCAAACTTTTGCTTTATTTACAAAGAACTTCGCGTTTTTTTAAGTTTTTGTTTATATTTTCACAATTTAACTCGTTTTAGTTTTTAAAATTGATAAATACATATTAAAAATAAAATATATGACATATTCTACGCGTCAAGGCATTGTACGCTTTTGTGCTTGTAACTTCTAGCATACAACAACATTGATTCTATTTTTTTGACAGCCGCGTAGAATGCGAAGAAGCGTAGAACGCGTGGTGTGGACCTCCAGCTTAAGGCTCAAACACATATAATACTTTGCGTCTAACTGCGATTGACAGCTACGCAACGTAAAAAAAATTATGTCCAATCGTTGCATTGCACATTGAAGCAGCTATATGGGGAAGGTTGGCGATAATTCAATGATTAAAAATGAGATTTTCGAAGAAAAATTTATATTGCTGGAAAGCTGACATTTCCCTCCGTGCAACCTCGTCATTAGTTTTTTTTTACATTGTTTTCTACCCTCAGGTGGAAGTTAAAGTCAGAGAAAACGTCTAACAAAAAATAATTAAATTCAGTTTCTTAATAAGTGTATGTTTATCATGAAGAAAAGACGCTAACTTGTTATAAAAAGTCAAAATTTTTAACAAATTACAATAAAGTAATTTGTTGCTAATACATGTGCAAAATTTTATAAACATTTATGTAAAAACGGGATCAAATTTGTAATTATAAAAAAAAAACATAATTTATTATTGTTTTTATAATTAAAAAATTTAAAAGGCAAATATAGTCAAAAATTCTCCAGAATTCTCCTTCAATTCGTTACACAAATTATTCATGAATATATATAGTAACACATTCAATATCAAAATATTGCCACAAATTACCTATCTAAGAACTAGACCGCTTAAACCCATTTCCCCCCCAATGTAAAATTTAAAAGGCAAATATAGTCAAAAATTCTCCAGAATTCTCCTTCAATTCATTACACAAATTATTCATGAATATATATAGTAACACATTCAATATCAAAATATTGCCGCAAATTACCTATTTAAGAACTAGACCGCTTAAACCCATTTCCCCCCAATGTAAAATTTTATTTATATTAATTTTAAAATCCTATATCATGGAATTACAAGAATTTATAAAACTCAACTCATTGTAGCTTGGACACTTATTTATTGCTAGAAATAAAAAATACGCCGAAATTTATGAATCCAAAGTTGCCATAGTGCATTTTTAAGCAATTTTATTTTAACCCATTTTAAACAAGGATCAAAACAAAAATAAATATAATCAAATTGAGCTAAATTAGTTTCAGAAGTAATTAATTCTTCGATTATTCCAAAATAAAACTAAAGATTTTTGAATATATATCATAATCATTGAGAAAATCTTTGCAGAAAAATTATTTGTATAAAGTTATATTACTTTACGGGACATTTTGTTAAACTCATCCTCTTTTTACAAAATTTTATTTTCAGTGTTAAAAGAGGGTAAAGTGTGCATAAAGAAAAAAGTCACAATTATTCCTAAATATAATTATTGATACACAAAAACATATATATTTTTTTAATCTTTTGGTAATTACCACCCAAAATTGTTCGATGGGTTATTATATTTTTACATATTTCTAATATAGGAAAAATTCTCTTTTCATTGATACCAAACACTTATGTCAAAATATTTAAAAATATTTAAACAATTTAAAAATGGTGTTTTTCACTTCACACACACATAATGCAGAATTAAAAACAGCAAAAAAAGCAAACAATAATTTTGACAGTTTTGTTTCTGTTCTCATTCTCTTCTTTTTCGTACGCCAAAGTTAAATATTTTTAAACTTTTGTACTTCGTGCACAAGTTTAATGTATTGAATGGGACCACTTCCATACAAAGTTATGTATGCGTTTGCACCTTTAGGTATATTTGCACCTTTAGGTATGGCCGTTACGCAGGCGTTTTCCACTTGATATTTCTTTTTTCTTTTGTGAAATGATTGCTCTTATGTTTATGGTAGATACACTAAATGAATACTATTTTAATTAATATTAACTTCTTTCAATATGGAGATGAAAAAAATTTTAAAAAATGTATGGCCCTACCATACCATAGCGTAATTAAAAATTGATTTGAAAATTCATACATACATACATATGTATGTAAATGAATAATATTTGTAAATATGATATTGTGTAATTTATTCGAAAATACATACATACAATAAATAATAAAAATCATATATATTAGTGATTTTATCCAACGGGATTAATACGGAAAAAAGCAGTGTAAAATTATGTTGTGTTTCATTAGACGAATTTACACAAAGTTATATTGTACGAATCGGTTGTTCGTCACAATTGTGCTCATACCATTATTCATGGAATAATTAAAGACACATTCACTTTTTGTAATATACACACTTAAGCAAAATAAAATGTCATGTGATGAATATTTTTAAATATTATACAGATGAAGTTAACTTAAAAAAACTGATATTCTTGTAAACTTGTAAATATTTTTATGAAAATAGAACAAGTAAAAGTTCTATATTCGGCTATGCCGAATCTTATATAACCTTCAAAAAGGCTCAGTACGAATTTTATTACAAAAATCAAAAAATACCAATATACTCTCATTTACTCCGGGCTCTACATGCCTAATTTTGTGTTTCTAGGTTCAATATTATAGAAAATTCAAAAAGAACCTTATGAAGAACGAAAAAGTACC